ACTTGAAAAAGGGCATTTAGGGAAGCCCCACAGCTACTCAATGGTGAAAGACTGAAAGCGTTCTCCTTCAGATAAGAAACAAGGTCAGGATGCCTGTTTTTACCACTTCTATTCAATATAGTACTGGATGTTCTAGCCAGTGCAATGAGGCAAGCAAGAGAAAGTTTAAAAAGCATCCAGATTAGCAAGAAGAAATAGAATTATCTTTATTTGCAGACGATATGATCTTATGTGTAAAAAATTCTAAATAGTCCACCAAAAAACCTCTCAGAGCTAATGAACAATCAGAACAAGAAGTTAAGAAGGCTATTCTGTTCATAGTAGCATGAAAAAGAATAAAAATACTTAGGAATAAATTTAACCAAGGAGGCTCAAGAGTTACATTTAAATTCCAAAATATTGCTGAAAGTAATTTAAAGGACTAAATAGATAGCCCATGTTCATGGATTAGAAAAGTTGATACTGTTATGATGACAATTGTCTCCAAAACAATATATAAATTCAGTGCAAACCTTATCAAAGTTTAACCAACCATTCTGCGGAAGCGTGCAAGCTGATCCTAAAATTCATATGGAATTGCAAGAGACCCTAGCCAAAACAGTCTTATCAAAGAAAAATAAAGTTGGAAAAATCACACTTCTTGATTTCAAAATTTATTGCAAAGGTACAGTAATCAACACAGCGTGATGCAGGATGAAGAATACACAAATGGATCAGTGGGGCAGAATTAAGAGAACAGAAATAAATCCATATACCTATGGCCAATTGATTTTTGACAATCATTTCAGGACTATTTAATGAGAAATGAGAAAATGGAATGATGCAAGAACAACTGCACAGCCACATGCAAAAGGATGAAGCTGGACTCCCACCTCACACAATATACAAAAATTAACTCAAAACAGATCAAGGTCCAAAATGTAAGAGCTAGCTAGCACTATACAATTCTTAGAACAAAAGACAGGGGGTAACCCTGTATGTCTTTGCATTTGGCAATGGATTCTTAGCTATAACACCAAAAACACAGGCAACTAAAGAAAATACAGATAAATTGAACTTTTATTAAAATGTAAAACTTTGTGCATCAAATGATACTAAGGAAGTGAAAAGACAACTCATGGAATGGGAGAGAATATTTGCAAATTATTTATCTGATAAGGGTCAAGTATTCAGCATATACTCGTATAAAGAAATCTTACGGGCCGGCCGAGTGGCGCGATGGTTGAGAACTCGCTTGGGATGCCAGAGGGCCCCGGTTCGGATCCCGCATATGAGGGCCAGTGAACACTGCCCTCCACAGCTAAGATGCTGACCAACAGCTCAACCTGGAGCTGGGCTGCTTGAGTCGCCGGCGACGGCGTAGGCTGCAGTCCCTGTGGCAGTGGGTTGCCATGGGCCACCGTGTGTAGCCAGCAGCCACCGTGTGTAGCCAGCAGCCAGCGTGAGCGGCCAGCCGCCGCAGTGAGCGGCCGTCCAGAAGCCGGCGACTGATCTGCCTCTCCAGGGAAGAGCGCAAAGACGGTGCCAACTTGGGCAAGTGAAGCAACGTCCTCCACAACTAGACTGAAGAACAAAACAACAGCAACTTGTCTGTTCCCCTTTCCCAATCCCCCAGCACTGNACGTCCTCCACAACTAGACTGAAGAACAAAACAACAGCAACTTGTCTGTTCCCCTTTCCCAATCCCCCAGCACTGTTCCCATCCCCCCAATTCCCCAATAAAAAAAATCTTAAAAAAAAAAAAAAGAAATCTTACAATTCAAGAACAAAAAGATCACCCACTTGAAACAAGACAAATAGATATTTCTCTAAAGAAGACATGCAAATGGCTAACAAGCACATGAGAAGATGCTCAACATCATTAGCCATCAGGGAAATACAAATCAAAACCACAGTGAGATGCCACTTCATTCCCAGATAATTTTCTCTACTTTCCCCAGGTGTCCTAGTTACCACATGGCAGAACTCAAATTCTAAGAACTGTAAGACAAAAATACCACTTTGGGCTTCAGCTCTAACTTCACATTAGAGAGAAAGACATCAGGTTCTATTTCTGGGAAGAAGTTGAGCCCTTAATTATTGTACATTTTGAGTCCTATTGAAACTCAAATCGGTTAATTTGCTTGTGTTGATTTGGTATCAGGCAGCCTTGACATCCAACTCTCCATTATTCACTAACATGTGACTTTAGGAAATGTTTGATTTCACCTTTCTGAAAGCCAGGTCTCTCATTCGTTAAAGATTGCAAAATGAAGACAAGATGGACTGGTGGAGCCCGAATTGGAAGTCAAGGCTACCTTACTCTCCTGTTGTTTCAATAATGGGAACTGGTGCAAAGTGTTAAGAAAACATTGTTGAGACCAAACCAGACCTCTGCAGGCTGCATTGGTGCTGTGAGTCACAGGTTCTGCCTCTGTGTTAATGGAGAGGAGGAGGCAGAGTTCAGACACTGCGGTGGTAAATGCATAGACTATGGAGCAATGCTGGCTGCCTATCTTAGTAGCACAGTTACCTTAGGTAAGCTTCTCCTTCTGTCTGTGCCTCAGTTGTCTTGTCTTTAAAATGGGCACAATGATAGTACGTACCTCATAAGAGTAGTATAAGGATTAAGAGAGCAAGAGAGAAAAAGAGAGGGGGAGAAAGTATGTGTGCGGTCATTTAAAAACAGTGTCTGGCATATAACAAGTCCTCTGCAAATATGTTTAATAAAAAAATTAATAAGCTCTAAGATTTCTTTCAGCTTTTAATACTATTAATATTAAGCTGCATACAAACTTGTAGAAAGCTAACTATCTTCACTGATTCTAACTTGCTCTTGACCTCAGTTTGCTCATCTGCACAATGGGAGCAGTAATGGCATTTCCTTTGTCTAGTTATTGTGAAGATTACACGAGTTAATGGAGAGAGAGTTAATACCTATAGTTACAGTACTTACAACATTGCCTGGCACAGATTAAGGACTATGTGAGTGTTAGCCATTATCATTATTAATTTTTTTAATGATTGCTTGGCAAAGCTCATGTTGGTCAGGATTGGAAAACTGCAAAATAATAATGGAGCTGAACTTTTAACCCCTCAATCCGTCATTCAAAAAAGCTACATGAGGAGCTCTAAGAACACAAAAACTTACCAGCCATTGTACAGCCCATTAATGCGCCTCAATACCATATTTAGATTAAAAAACAAAAAGAGCTTAAATTTCTATCTATGAAGGCAACTAATTGAATTTATTTTTAATAACTCTTTCTGCATTTTCCATAATAAATCTAGGAAGGAGATGAGGAAAATCTGAACTCTGATGCACAGACTTTGATTAGAAGAAAGTTGCCTCCCTAGTTAATCCCAGTCCACCTGGAATAGATAGATGATCGCTGTGTCAAAAATGTAAGAGGAGGAAGTTAGAAGTGGGGTCATGTTGCAGGGTTGGAAAAAGCAGGACCCTAATTGTAATTTTTAAGGTGAGAAGAATGTGGTATGAAGAAATAAAGCAGACAAATAGGAGTCTTAATGTGAGAGGACTGGAAATATACTGGGACCTGACACCGAATGAATGGGGAACATTATAGGACACAGTTGAAGGGTGCTGGAAGTGGGATTCTAGTACTGAAGTGACAATAACTATTAGTTATTAATAGTTACTTTGAGAAGAGATGGGAATTCTTCAACACAAAAGAATAGTAGCAAGGGGAGATCTCACTGTGAAATAAGCACAGGATATAAAAGAAGTTCATTGTAAATTGATAAGAACACTATTAGGCCATTACTGATAAGAACAGGGGGCTGGTGGGGGGGATCCAACAGGGAAAAGCACAGGACAGGGTCTTGGGGTTTGTTTCGAGAAACGTTGTAGAATTCTGAGTCTGTAAGCACAGGACATAGTGTGGGAACCATTTTATATATAAGAAGGGGATAGAAGGTTTCATAGTGTGACAACACGGGGTACAAGAGGGGACCTCAAATTTATAACATGGGTGCTCTAATGAGGGGGACAAGGAATGAGCCTTGTATTGGAAGGGGCACGAAATATTAGAAATTACAGTGTTGAAGGATGGTGTTTGTCTTGTTTGAGAAGACCAGGGGACAAGCGCAACCCTAGACAGAAGTAACAGAAAATAATAAATGCAGAGAAAAAGGATTGCAAAATGAGGGGCTAATAGTGGAATAGGTGGGGAGAAGATTTCAGACATGATAAGAAGTAGTGGACCTTAGAAGGGGTATGACGGATGTTGCGGGAACCTGTGTGGGAGGGTAAAGAGGACACTGTGGTGTGAGAAGTCCACGCATGAGTGTGATAAACGCAGGGCAACTAGTTTGAGGTGTCAGAAAATGGGAGAAAGGCACGAGAGGAAGGGGAATGCCAGTGCGATGAAATCAGAGGCTGTAGTATGAGGCTCCAGGGTAGGTCCCATTCCACTGGAGGAAATGAAGAAATGGCGAAGGCCACAGGGAAAGGGAATGCGGGACTTTAACACCGTCTGAAACGGAGAAACCCCAGTGGTATAGAAGAAGGTGTGCTGTGGAGTCCCAAATGGGACAAGATGTGAAGAGAGGATCACGGGAAAAGGATGAATCCCAGTGTTGGAAAAAGAAGCGCTAGTAAGAAAAGAGAGGAAATATTTTGAGGTTCCTAGTTGGATGCATTGGTGGCGCTGGTAATGTGAGCAGTTTAAGGATTTCCTCCATTTCATAGGGGGGAGCCCCCAGAATAAGAACACAAGGCACAAGTATAAGAAAAGGGCGCCCTATTGGAAAGAGCCAGGAAATTCTTGTGGGCTCGGACAGGAAATAATGTAAGAAACCGTGGGTGGCAAGCGTTGGGGGCATGGTGGGACCCTCGTGGGAGAGCGCAGGAAATACTGTGGGTTGGAAGTGGGCAGCTAGCTCTCTAGGGAGCTAGAAGAAAAGCACGGCGTGGGTGCTATGCCCACCAGGGTGAAGGGTAGAGCAGCCGGTTAGGCTGGAGCAGGATTTCCCCACCTTAGGTGCCCAGCTCCACTTACCCAGGCAGAGTTCAAAGACGTAGGCATAGTAAGACCAGAGCACGACCAGGACGATAATGAGCACTGGCACCCAGGCCAGTACCCGGCGGCAGCACTGCAACCCCCCGGACAGGGCCATCTTCCAGCCGCGCCGCATCCTGGGCTCGAACATCGACCGAGCGGGCCTGCTGGCGCTGGGTCGTGCGGCGCTCCACTGCCTGCCCTGGCGGCAGCTTTATCCCCGCGCTCGCCGGGAGCACCTGTGGGGTTGCAGGGCCGAGCCGCCCTTCCAGGCACAACAGGCATGAGTCACGGTACCGACCAGGAACTGGCAGTGCTGGAGCGGAAGGTGAACGGTCCTGCAGTCCAGGCTGGGCACGCTCAGAGTGCGGCGCCTCCCCTTTCCTTCCCTCCCACCCATCTGCTCAGCGACGTGCGGAGCTACCCTCTGCTCTCCCCGCACTGCGTCCGGCTCATCTGCGCTCCGATCGGTTTCTCGTACACACACATGCGCGCGCGCGCTCATATACACGCAGCATGAAAGATGCGAACCATGCCATCTCCTGACTTAAAGACCATTCAGCCTCATGCTCCCACAGCGACTTGACCAGTATGCTTAACACGTAGTGCTGCAGTAGCTGCGTGTTAAGTCCACAGACAAGGCACTCCCTTCTTCCTTGTCTTCTTCCCATCCCTGACTCACCTTACTACATTTACAGAAATAAACACTGGTACAAAAACAACAAATACGGGACACCTTAATTCTGTGACAGGTCAATGAAACCTACAAAGATACTGATATTTAAGCTGAGCTTTAATAATAAGAGTCTGCCAGGCAGATGAGAGGGCATGGACCTTTCAGACAGAGGAAATAGCATTTACAACAGCACACGGTCATGAAAATCCAAAGTGTTCAAGGGACACCTACTATGGCTTCACAAGACGGTTCGTCAAGATGAGAGGCTAGGTGGGAATACAGCCTCAGGGCAGGGTGTCAAGGCCCTTATATACCCAAATAAGCTATGTGGACATAATCCTGTAAAGCAGATTATGAACAGCCATTAAAGGTTTCAGGACAATAAGTATATTATCAGACATTGATTTTTGCAAAACAACTGGCAGAATTTCAGACACAACAATAGCCTCAAAGCACACCAATTACAAGGCAATTTAATTCAACAAATGTTTTTGGAACAGTTGTTTTCTGTTAGACCAAATTTGCTATAAAAAGAATGACAACACAGGGGGCCTGTCCTGAAGAAGCTCTTGTTCTCATCAGGGCAATAGGTATTCAATGACACAAGTACAACAATAGAAGTAAGCAACCTTTCGATATTTGTGGACGCAATACTCATTCTTTACTGATTTCCAAATGTCTATGACATGAAGAAACTTGTCATTGTTCTAGGACCCATGTTTGATTCATATTCTGTGTGGGAGCAAGGATTTCAACAAGGTTGCTCTGGGTTCTTTATCCATACTTGTACATGCAGTAAATTTCCTAAAGGGAGAAGACCTTTCTTGATTCTGTTCAGATTAAGTTAACTTCATGATGTCATTACTAAATTACTAATATAATGAAATACAGACTCATTCCAGTTGCAGTATTTATTTTAATACCCCAATTAATTATTTGAGCCCTAAGGTTCTGACATGGATACTTAAACATTATGTTTTCCAGCTTCACTGAGATACAATTGACAAATAAAAGTTGTATATATGTAAGGTATACAACCTGATGATTTGCTATCCATATACATTGTATATGTGAAATGACCACCGCAAACAAGCTACTTCACGCATCCATCACCTCACATAGTTAACATGTTTTGGACACTTTTTACTGAGATATATTTGACATGCAATATTCTGTATGTTGAGAATGTACAACATATAGATTTGATACATTTATATTCCAATATGATTGCCACTGTAGCTAGCTAATACCTCTATTGCATCGCATAATTATCATTTCTCCTGGTGTTGGGAACAATTGAGATCCAGGTTCTAAGCAAGTTTAATGTTTATAATACAGTTTTGTCTATAATCTCCATACTATGTATTAGATCTCCAGGCCTTTTTTGTCTACGAGCTGCAAGTATGTATCCTTAAACAACACCTCTCTCATTCCCTCACCACTTAGCCACTGGTAACCACCACTTTACTCTCTGCTTTCAAGACCAGTTCTTTTAGATTTCACATATAAGAGATATCATACAGTATTTGTCTCTGTCTGACTTATCTCATTTAGCATAATGTGCTCAAGGTCTATCCATGGCCTTGTAAATGGCAGGATTTCCTTCTTTTTCATGGCTGAATATATATATATATATATATATATATATATATATATATATATATATATACACACACACACACAGTTGGACAATTAAATTCGTGAACTTTATTGTCCATGTATTTTATATATATTCTTCTTTAGCCAGTCATTCGTTGACAGGCACTTAGGTTGTTTCTGTATCTTGGCTACTGTGAATAATACCACAATAAACATGGGACTGCATATGTTTCTTCGGTAACCTGTTTTCATTTCCTTTGGCCAGAAGTGGGATTGCTGGAAGCTATGGTAGTTCTAGTTTTAATTTTTTTGAGGAACCATCATACTGTTTCTGTAGTGGCTGCTCTAGTTTACATTCCCACATCCTTGCCACCACTTTTCTGTTTTTACAGGTATGAAGTGATATCTCATTATAGTTTCCATGTTTTTTTGTGGAGGAAACACTTAAGATCTATTGTCTTAGCAAATATCATATATACAATATAGTATTTTTTTTAAAGATTTTTATTGGGGAATTGGGGGGATGGGAACAGTGCTGGGGAATTGGGGAAAGGGGAACAGACAAGTTGCTGTCGTTTTGTTCTTCAATCTAGTTGTGGAGGATGTTGCTTCACTGGCCCAAGTTGGCACCATCATTGCGCTCTTCTCTGGCGAGGCAGACCAGTCGCCGGCTTCTGGATGGCCGCTCACTGTGGCTGCTGGCCGCTCACGCTGGCTGCTGGCCACACACGGTAGCCCATGGCAATCCACTGCCACAGGGACTGCAGCCCACGCCGTCGCCGGCGACTCATGGCAGCCCAGCTCCAGGTCGAGCTGTTGTTCAGCATCTTAGCTGTGGAGGGCAGTGTCACTGGCCCTCATATGTGGGATCCGAACCGGGGCCCTCTGGCATCCCAAGCGAGTTCTTAACCATCGCGCCACTCGGCCAGCCCTACAATATAGTATTAACTACAGTTATCATATTGTGCTTTAGATCTCTAGAACTTATTCATCTGATAACATTAATTTTGTGCCCTTTCACCAACATCTCCTCATTCCTTCCCCCACCACCCTAGTCTATGACAGTCACATTTCTACTCTCTGCTTCTATGCGTTCAACTTCTTTAGATTCCACATATACTCATAGGTGAGATCATACAGTATTTGTCTTTCTGTGCCTGGATCATTTCACTTAGCGTAATAACCCTACAGGTACATCCATGTTGTCACAATGGTAAGATTTCCTTGTTTTCGTGATTGAAAAGTATCTCTATCTCTATCTATAAAACATCACATGTCTTTATCCATTTATCCATCAATGGATATTAGCTTGTTTCCATATATTGAAGACTGAATAATGCTGCAATGAACATAGCAGTTAGATATCTCCTTGAGATACAGATTTTCTATCCTTTGAATATATCTGCAGAGATGGGGTTGCTGAACCATTTAGTTGTTCTATTTTTAATTTTTTGAGGTACCTCCATAAGTTTTCCATGATGGCTACACCTATTTTCATTCCCACCAACAGTACACAAGGGTTCCCTTTTCTTCACACCCTCACCAACACTCGTTATCATTTGTCTTTTTTATATTAGCCATAGTAAAAGATATGAGGTGATATCTCACTGTTTTTTAAATTAAATTTATTGTGTAATAACATTGTATGAACCTCAGGTATACAACTTTATACTACAACATCTGTATACTCTATTGTGTGCTTACCACCCAAAGTCTAGTCTCCTTCCATCACCATATATTTGACACCCTTTACATTCTTTGTCCTCCCCACCACCGCCCTTTCCCTCTGGTAACCACCATTCTGTTGTCTGTACTGATGACTTGCTGTGTGTTTGTTTTCCTTGTTTGTTTGTTGCTTTTTGTTTTATATCCCACATGAGTGTAATAATATATAACAGTTCTTGTCCTTTTCTGTCTGACTTACTTCACTTAGCATGATACTCTCCATATCTATCCATGTTGTTGCAAATGGCAATGTTCCATCTTTTTCATGGCCGAGTAATATTCCATTGTATACAGAAATCAAACTTCTTTATCCAATCATCCATCAAAGGACACTTATATTGTTTCCATCTCTTGGCCACCATGACTAATGCTGCAGTGAACATAGGGGTACATATATCTTTAAGAATAAGTGTTTTCCAAGTTTTCAGGTAGATACCCAGAAATGGGATTGCTGGGTCATACGGTAATTCTATTATTAACTTTTTGAGGAACCTCCATACTGTTTTCTATAGTGGCTACACCAATTTGCATTCCCACCAGAAGTGTATGAGGGTTCCTTTTTCTCCACAGCCTCTCCAACACTTGTTATTACTTGTCCTGTTGATGATGGCCATTCTAACAGGTGTGAGGTGGTATCTCGTTGTGGTTTGGATTTGTATTTACCTGATGATTAGTGATGTTGAGCATCTTTTCATATGTCTGTTGGCCATTTGTGTCTTCCTTAGAAAAGTGTTCAAATCCGTCACCCATTTTTTTTAAAGATTTTTATTGGGGAATTGGGGGGATGGGGACAGTGCTGGGGAATTGGGGAATGGGGAACAGACAAGTTGCTGTCGTTTTTCTTCTTCAGTCTAGTTGTGGAGGATGTTGCTTCACTGGCCCAAGTTGGCACCATTATTGCGCTCTTCCCGGGCGAGGCAGACCAGTCGCCGGCTTCTGGATGGCCGCTCACTGTGGCTGCTGGCCGCTCACGCTGGCTGCTGGCTACACACGGTAGCCCATGGCAACCCACTGCCACAGGGGCTGCAGCCTACGCCATCGCCGGCGACTCACGGCAGCCCAGCTCCAGGTTGAGCTGTTGTTCAGCATCTTAGCTGTGCAGGGCAGTGTCACTGGCCCTCATATGTGAGATCCGAACCGGGGCCCTCTGGCATCCCAAGCTAGTGCTTAACCATCGCGCCAGTCGGCCGGCCCCCTTCACCCATTTTTAAAATCCGATTGTTTGGGGGTTTTTGTTGTTGTTGTTGTTGAGTTGTGTGAGTTCTTATTTATTTATTTACTTATTTATTTGTAGTTTCAGGTTTTACAACACAACATAATGATTAGATGTTTAGGCACTTCATAAAGTGATAACCCCAACTCTACTGCCCATCTTAGCCCCTTATCAGAGGTATTGTTTGAAAATATCTCCTCCCATTTCTTTGG